AAAAAAAAAAAGAATAGACTCACATTATCGTCCGTGTCATCGGTAGCATCCGCGATAAACGAAGCTCCGCCGTCTCCTCGATCACGGTTCGGAAGTTTCGCCTCGGACTCGAGCTTTCCTCCAGCATCTTGGTCCTGATGGTTGCGAGACTCGATCGAATCCTCGTTCATACCAAAGTAAAAAGTCTTCGGTGTCATCGAGGCGAATCTAGGAGAAAATCGAAGGAGAAAATATTAGATTATTACCGTTAGAATCGTACGAATGGCGAAAAGCAACTTACGCTTGATCCTGTTCTCCCTCGGATCGTTCGTTCGAGACAGGGTTGCTCGTTTCTCCGACGTACTCGTTGCCACGTGATCGCAGTTCCGACTTCTCCGTCATCGAGACATCAGACCATTTCTGATCAAGAGGTCGCTTTGCCGAAACCATTTTCAACCAATGGTCGTTCCGTCTGCCAGGATCCGAGTTCTGTTGCTGCGAGAGTCGTCGTGGTTCGACTGGCTTAGGGCTCTCGACAGCATCGTTCATGGAACAATCCTTCGATGCCGGACTTTCGTAAGTTCGACGACGTTGGTTCGACTTGGCCATCACATCGGTTTTACGATCGCCGTTTTCACAAGTTGGATCGACTGGATCACCGCTCAGCCGTCGTTCCACTGATCGATCTTCGTATCGCCCACGTCGATCTCGTTCCTTATTATCACCGCGGCTCTCTGCTCCTCCGTCTTCGATCTCGTTACGTCGACGACTCGGTGGTCGTCGATCAACGCAACTGATCGTCGCTTCCGTATCGAAACGACTGGCTCGACGATCGTGCGTGGCTTCGTCGAGAACCGTCTCGCTCGAGTCCAACTTATCGCGAACTCTCTTTGCCACTCGAATCAACTCCGCTTGAAACTCTGGGCTGCTCATGCTCCTCTGAAGCGTGTTCTTTCCATGATCTTGGGGGTGTAGCCTGGAACTGCGATGGTGGCGATGCTCGTGGACGTTGGTCGAGCGATCGCGATCACGCCGATCGATGGACAACGAGTCAGCGACCACTTCGGTGTCGGAATGTTGACTCGTCCGTGAACGAGGAGCGCCGTTCCAATGGCTGGACGCGTCGTCGCGTTGCGAAAGTTTCGTCCTCTCGCGATCGCGATCGAACGACGGTGACAACTGCCAGCTGATTTGGGCTTTCTTCGATTCGGCGCGAGTTTTGAACAGGCGGGATCTCCGCGGCGGCGGTTGAACTTGGTAACGATGCTGATGGACATGAGAATGAGGATGGGAACGGGAAGGGGCATGCGAATGGGGATGATAACGGGTGTCGAGGTCTCGCGAGGAATGAGATTCGCTGGCGGGCGACGAGCCTCCGTGGAGATTAGGGGAGACAACGACGGACGCTGGCGGAGCAGGGGCTTTGTACTTTTTCCTAGTCCTGTATCCGCTTTCAAGCCGGTCTTTGGTCTCCTTGCCGTAGCGGTAGCAGCCGAACGATGACCGAGCGGTCTCCTCTGTGTCGATCGAGTTGCTCGGAACTGGATCGGAGTGGCTAGGGATCGAAGGATAGGCTAGCTCCGGAGAACAGCGAAGATCAGGCTCGCTGCCGAACTTCTTCAAATTGGCGGAGCTCGCGTTTGCGTCCGGCCGACTCGAATCATCGGCACGATAACGACAACAGTGCCGGTCGAGTCTTCTCGGACAAGGTTGGACGAGGTTCGAGGCGGAACAGCTTCTCTCTCGAAACGGAGGCTCGTTGCAGGTACGCTGTAACAGAAGAGGATAGGGTACAACGAGTATCTTCGTATTTTACTCGCTTAGAACTTAGCCTTAGTGATCGATTAATTTTCTACCGTGTCAAGGAGACGTGAGCGTGTATAATTTAATTTATTCGCTTGTAAACGCTGTTCACTGTTAGTGATATTAACTGAAGTGAGAGTGTTAACACGAAACACGAGACAATTGTTTGAAAGTGGAGGACGTGAAACAATTTGCTTTACCTTGGCAAGATCGCGGGACGACGCGAACGTGGGTGCTCTGCGACCGCTGATCGTTCCGCCGTTCTGTATGATGTTTCCATTATCGGTAGCGCGTAGCCTTTGATTCGGTGGTTCAGGAAGTACCTTACGCGCCGCGGTTGGCTGCGATCGGTGCCTCGTTATCTCCCGAGGGAACGACTGGGACCAACCTCGACTAGCTCCATCTTGCACGCTCAATCCATTCGAACACACGGACGTAGCCTGTTGATCCCGAGTGCTGCTCCCATTATTGCCCATCTCGAAGACCCTGCGGCGTCCTCGCTGCAGCTATGGAAACCGCCACCGGTGGTCCTCCATCGTTCGTACATTCGTCGCCTCTTCCTCTGTCTCTGCAATTTCATTTCGTACTCGCTTTCTTTCCCCTTGCTTTCGTGCTTTCGACTTATTATTCTGTATTTCGCAGAATGAAACAGAGATTAACTCGGATGATTCCAGGATAGGAAAACTCGTAGCCAAGGGAACGTTGCTCGTCCGTGGAGACGAATCAAGCGAATCGAAGGGAAGACTAGCCGCGCTCGATACCAGTGGTAACGGTTTTTGCCTAACGGGTTCGAATTGGTGCGAGAGGCTCGATAAATCGACGGCCGACCCGATAGATTGCGTGCACATTGCTGCATTTTTCGAAACCGATCAGCCCAATCGCGTCGCGATCAAATCAGAAATACAATCGAGGCAGGTAAATAGTGCGACGAATAACGAAGCGCTTTTAAGTCTGTTTCTTGGTCCTGATAGCTTGTGATAAATATGTTGGTAACTAAGAGAATGTCTTTTTCATTGAGAATTTGTTGTTCATTGATGCCTCATTATAAGCTCTACTAGGCACAAAACGGCAAGTTTTTGAGAGTGGCAAAATAGCTATAAACTATGCGAAACTCAAATATATTAAGGAGGACACTTAGAGGATCATTCTTCTTTTTAATCGTTTCCCTCTCTCTTTGCAAAACGCACAGGCAGTTTGTTATTCTTCGTTAACTTGTAAATGGTTTCGGTGACCAATATTTGGAATACACAATCATACACGAAGTTCAACATCATGGCTTTTTCAGACTCTTCATTGTAAGAGTTCTTCTTCTTTCTCGCGAAAAGGGGCGAAATATATTATTACACGAGACGGTATTATTTCTATGGTGGCCGGTATTTAATTCCACAACCGAGGGATCAAAAACAGGCGATTTTTTCTCGGTCATTCTTTGTAAGTCAAGTGTTTTCGGCTGAGGCAGACATTCCCGACGTTGCATTATTGCGTAAAAGCGAAGAGAAAGCTGCGCCGAAAGCTGGCATTCTCGTCGTAACGCTTCCTCGACCTTCGCTCGTTCGGCTCGTTCATTTATTATAGCGATCGCCGCGTATATTCCAATTAGCTCGATGGTTAACGATCGACAAATCGGGCAAGAGTGTACGTGTATGAAAGATAAAGAGAACGAAGGGGAGAGAAACAGAAGCACACGGGCAAATCGGATCGAGGTCGCGGTCCACGCGCGAAAAAGAAAGTCCTCCAGGAGAACGCGGACAAGTTCGATCTGGTATATCCGGTGAGAGCAGACAAGCCGCAATGTTAGCCTGTTTCTCTCTTCGTCTGCGTTCTCTCTTCGCTTTCCAAGCTGCGGATGCGTTCCATCATCGAAATTCGATGGACGGAAGAATACGTCCACGTGTCACCGATTTGTTCAATATTCCATCAAGAAGTCACTGACAATGAACAATATCATATATCGTATTGCATAGTTAATCACGCGAATTCTTTGAAGCATCTCCCTTGATATATGATATTGTAGTTTAATTTTTGTCTCACTTCTCTTCGTATACCTGTATTTTACTGTTCAAACTTCGCCAGTGTGACGAAAAGTTATAACGTTAAGTACATCTTTAGATTTCTACTGATGGAGAACTGTAAAAGCAAAAATCTACAAGAAATAAATTAATTACAAAGATCAAAGCTTCACGTGTGAAGAAATTAAATAAAGTTTAAATTACAAAATTCAATCGTAACTTTAAAGAAGAGGTTCAACACACTTGAAATAGCAGGAATAAATAATGTGCAACTTTGTGTTTTGTATCTCTGTTGTAACCTTTTAATGGAACTTTTACTACAACGACATTTTTGACGCGAGAGTGGCGAAGTTTGAACATTAATACATACGTGTTTTTCTTTTTTTCTTTTTTTTTTTCTGTATTCTTATTACTCAATTTGCTGGCCCCTAAGCTAACCAGTTGGATTAAAGCGTTCATTCGAGCAAAATAGATATGCGAAAGAAATCCGAGAAGTCAGGTAGCACGGAAACTGAATCGATCGATATCGATCCTATTCCTTAGCTGAATCAACGCAATGGAACAAAGGGGAGGAAGATGAGAAAGAAAACGACGAAAGGAAGCGAAGAGGGGGGAGGAGGGGAAGAAGGAGCGATCGTTTCGTCTCTGACATGGCAAAGTTGATCGTACAGGTACGACGATTAGTCGTGGATCGTTAGCTCGCTTCACGGAACACGAGTCGTTGGCCGAATAGTTGCACGATCTTAGGCCGATGTTGCGCGTCGGACCTTCGCCTCGATTTCTCTCGTAACGGTTCGAATGCCGTATGTATTACGCCGCGCTGTAATCGACCGTGCGATTTCCGTATTTGCTAGTATGTGCTGCTTCCTCTTTCGTCGTTTCGCGGCGAAAATTCCTTCGCCGTTGGTTGGAGTATTGGCCATTCTGCAATACACAATTTTCCATTCGACTTTTTATGAGTCTACAATGGCTTGTGTAAACGTAGTGTCAAACAAACTGACACAATTTCTCGATCGTCATTTTTTGGTTGGACGATCTATCTATGTTGTAACAGCGATT